CAGCCTCCCAAGTAGCTGGGGTAACAGGCACCCGCCACCACACCCAGCTAATTTTGTGTTTTTGGTAGAGACAGGGTTTCACCATGTTGGCCAGGCTGGTCACGAGCTCCTGACTTCAAATAATCTGTCCGCCTCGGTTTCCCAAAGTGCTGGGATTACAAGCATGAACCACTGCACCCGGCCTGAATTTATATGAGTTCTGATTTATCACTAAGCCAATGTGAATAGAAATCCTTTAAGGGATTTTATAAATTAACTTGGCAATCCCATGCAGAAGTAGAAAAATACCATACATACATAACATACATGCATACATACATTCATACATATATAAACTTACATACAGATGCAAATAGAGACCTTGTAGCTTTCATTCTAATATTTTAGCCACATGTCAGGTAAAAAGAGTAAAACAAAATTCACAGGTTTATATAAAATACTTGGCTTTCATCTTTGCCCTGCTTCCTACTTTTATCTGCATTGTGTTTCTGACAGATGGAATAAGGTAAGGTTACCTGCTCAGTACGAGGGCTAATGCTTTCCACCAATATTTGTGGAGGAGGCTTGTAAGATTTTCATTTGCTTATATATCTGATTGCTTTTGGGGGTCCTTTGAGAGCTCCTGATGTGGGTAGGAGGTCTAAGATTCCAGTGATTGTAGGGAGGTGGGGGGCTTGAGTGGGAAGGGAAAGTTCTGGCGGAAGTGGATAGATGGATGGTGGAGAAGTAGGGGTTTCAAAGGCAACGTATTAAAGGATTCAAAGGAACTGAAGGGAAGATCAAAGGTGGTAAAAGGAGGAAAGAGGGACAGAAGCGATAGGAAGGGGGAGGTCTCAAAGGAGCCTGTCTGGGGAAGCCATCAAAGTTCCAAATTATCCTTAGCAAAATTATGCCATAAGGAATGAAGTGGACAGAGTGAGTGCCTGCCCTAGTGGCCCTAGTAGTGGAGCATACAGCCATCAAGGGCTTGGGAAGGGGGTTTCAGTGACCGAGAAGCTCCCATACTCTTAACTAACGGTACTTTGCAAGCAATGAAGCCTAGGACTCTGACCCAGCCTCTATATCTAATAAGCAGAGAAGCCCGGGACTCTGACCCAGCCTTTCTGTCGAATGAACAGAGAAGCCTGGGACTCCTCTAACCCAGCTTCTACAGTATACTCAGAATCTTAAAAGTCAAAGTCTGTCTTTACCTGGAGCACTGGCTTAGGAGTTGGACTCATGAACGGATCCCTAATCTATCAGTCAGAACTGAAGAAAAAGGCTTCAAAGGTGTGTGTCTGGGCAGGAGAGGTCCCACGATCCAGTGATAAGATGAGAGGTCCAGGAGTCCAATGATGAAACTTTTTGTTTGTTTTTGAGAGGGATTCTTGCTCTGTCACCCAGTCCGGAGTGCAGTGACACGATCTCGGCTCACTACAGCCTCTGTCTCCCGGGTTCAGGTGACCCTTCTGCCTCAGCCTCCCGAGTAGCTGGGACTACAGGTGTGCATCACCACACCTAGTGAATTTTTTGTATTTTTAGCAGAGATGGGGTTTCACCATCTTGGCCAAGCTGGTCTCAAACTCCTGACCTCAGGTGATCCAGCCGCCTCAGCCTCCCAAAGTGCTGGGATTACACGCGTGAGCCACTGTGCCCGGCCCTGATGATGAATCTGATCCTATGCAAGTCATGACACTGTAAGTGTTAAAGAACAAATTATTCTGACATTTGTTTAAATGGTGAGGACGACTTTGTTTAGGGCCATTGCAATAGATGTCATGACTACACAATAGGGGTGAGATTGGGCTCAACTCCCAATATGGCAAAGAGAGCTGGGGATTTCTAGTCAAGGAGCAGAGGGGTCAATGCATGGAAATTCCCAAGGAGAGACATCAAGGGTAGGGGATTCTTGCTGATGGCAGGCCAAGCTGATCAGATATTAAAGGTAGGGGAGTCTCGCTAAACTAACTTAGCAGCATTCTTGCTACAACTGAATAACTGGGCCAAAGACAGGGCCCCATGCCGAGGTGTAGTGGAAAAGAGGGCCACTGGTGATGCAACTCTATCTCCAGCACGTCTCCCCTCCCTGGAGATCGGGAGTGAGACCGAAAGTTCCAGCACGTTAATCACGTGGTTGGTTCCCCTGGCCACCAGCCCCCACCTGGAAACTACCTAAAGAATACCAAGAAGGCCGGGTCCGTGGCTCACACCAGTAATCCCAGCACTTTGGGAGGCCGAGGCGGGTGGATCACGAGGTCAGGAGATCGAGACCATCCTGGTTAACACGGTGAAACCACGTCTCTACCAAAAATACAAAAAATTAGCCGGGCTTGGTGGCGGCGCCTGTGGTCCCAGCTACTTGGGAGGCTGAGGCAGGAGAATGGCGGGAACCCGAGAAGCAGAACTTGCAGTGAGCCGAGATCACGCCACTGCACTCCAGCCTGGATGACAGTGTGAGACTCTGTCTCAAAAAAAATAAAAAAATAAAAAATAAAAAAAAGAATACCAAGAATACTGAGGTAAGGCCAAAAAGGGTTCTTTATTAATAACAAAAGACACTCCTATCACTCAGAAAATTCATAGAGTTTTAGGTGCTCTGTGCCAGAAGTCAGGGACAAAGAAGAAATACATGTTTTTGATGAAATCACAATGGGAGGACTAAAAATTGAGGTGGTAGAGCAGAGTCCAGTGTTCAGAAGAGCAGGCCACGTAGGGGTCCACGTAGCTGAAGACCAGCGCAGCCAGGGATGAGCAGATGGGCAGTAGAGGGCTAAGGAAATGAGCAGCGAACACGGGTGATGAGGGACAGGGGTGGACTGGGCTTGGGGCCATGACCTAGTGCCAGTAACCCAGAAATAGAGTCCTGACCCAAAGAAGGAACAAGTGGATTAGCCATATTCCACCTGTCCTAGGTTTCAGGAGTTCATGAGGATAAACAGTCAATGAATATTTACACACATATCTCCATGGCTCCAAACTCCAAACTTGCTTGACAAGACCTTAACCTCCATGCTTCTCTCATCTGCTTAAATTCTTCCCCAGCTATTTCTGGGTGTCCTTGGAGAGGTGACATCTCACGTGGGCTTGGGAACAAGTTTGTTCATGTTCTTTCCATTTGAGCCTGTTGGTCCAGGAGCCCTGCCGTGGCCTTTGCAGCTGGTGCCCTCTGAAAGACGTTTCTCCCCTGCACCCAATGTCCCTGGGAGCCCAGGGTGCCTGCAACCTGTGGATGGGCTGGTGAGGGTTGGTGAATGGCTTCTCCCGATGCCTGTGCTTATTGTGCTTTCTGGGAGGGAGGTGGCCCTGTGTGAACTCAGTCCTGCCCAGTATTTCATGAACACTGTGGCTTCATCTTACGTTGTCAGAGCCTCAAAACCAGTCCTTCACATGTGGCCAGGAGAGGGGAGAGAAGCGCCTGTCTTGTATGGCTTCTCCCTCGTTCCTCTTTTTCTTAGATACCTCTGCATCCGAATGAAACAAAACTCTCAACAAATATCCTTCCACCTCCTTCAGGAGAAAACAAGTTGTGTAATGGAAAGAGCATAAACTTTTGAGCCAGACATCCTTGGTTTGACTCTCAGCTTTGCCATTTGCTAGTCGTATGGCCTTGTATCAGTTACTTTTTTCATATGATGAGGAAATAATGTTAGGGATTATGCATGTAAAACACTTAACATCGTATCTGACACAGAGTGAGTACTCGAGAAAAGGCAACCATTGTTATCATGTCTCCCTTGTCCAGAAACAGCACAAAGCCTAGTCATGGGAGGCACTGTATTTTCTAAGTGTGTGAATCACTCTCGTGCCCCAAAGTGCCTCTCATTTCACAGGTGTTCTAGGAAAGGTGCTGCTCACCACTGTCTTGGCCTAATAAGCAGTTAGTTGCAAACCTGGCTGTCTAATCCCACTTTGTTGATTTCAGGGATTTTCTTTTGCCACTGTCATCCCTCCGTGTGTCCAAGTATGCCATAGTCTGTTTTGGGGAGAGGCTTATCTAGTGTCTTTGGCCATTACATAGGAAATGTAAGATGGAAAGAGAGGGCCCCGTTAGAGTCCCGATGAGCACCACACAATATCTTTAGGAAAAGAATCGTCGAAAGGCAACAGGATGCCTCCTGACCATCCGAGGTCCTCGTCAAGTTGGGGGGACTTGGTGGACTTGGCTTCCCTGCAGCTCCCAGCTCTGGGCTCCATTTTACCGCATCCTGGGAGACAGGAAAGTCAGTCTGCATGTGTGATTCCGAGCCCTTCCTTGGAGTATTTGCAGTCTGCATCTGGTCTGCAAAAGGTGACTCATTGTTGACTCTTTCAGCTTCTGAAGGGTAAGCGATCTATGTTCCATGTGCACGTGAAGGAACTCGGGAAGGAAAGGAGGGAGCCCACACTGATGGGCGCTTTGCAGTACTTTTCTGCCAGTCTGGCACGCTGTACCTGTCACAGTCGGTTTGACTCCCCTTCTCCCTCCTGGATGGCATAGGCGATCAAACTGTGTGGAGGATTCTACCAGACAGGCACCCCACAGTCCAGTTAGGATCAATCATGGGTTTATATGCAAAGGGTGAAATGGAACCGTGAGAAGCCAACCTGAGACTTAGGGAAAGTAGTAGCTGTGGCATCATGACCCTCGAGACCCGAGGGACTGAGGGAGGAGCAATTACTTGAATCTTGAAGGGCAGAGTCCCGATGTAGAGCAGGCTCCCTGAGAAGGACAGTGACCGGCCGGGCGCGGTGGCTCACGCCTGTAATCCCAGCACTTTGGGAGGCCGAGAGGGGCAGATCACGAGGTCAGGAGATCGAGACCATCCTAGCTAACACGGTGAAACCCCGTCTCTACCAAAAGATACAAAAAACTAGCCGGGCGAGGTGGCGGGCGCCTGTAGTCCCAGCTACTAGGGAGGCTGAGGCAGGAGAATGGCGTAAACCCGGGGGGCGGAGCTTGCAGTGAGCTGAGATCTGGCCACTGCACTCTAGCCTGGGTGACAGAGCCGAGACTCCGTCTCAACAACAACAACAAAAAAGACAGTGACCTTGGGCTGAAGGACACAACCAGGCCCTGGTGACGCTGCAGGGGGGATGAATCCCCTGACCGTACTCTGTTCCTTCCTCCCAGCTCCTGTGGGGGCTCCTTATGGGCCAACTCCACCTGCAGCCAAAGTGACCACAGCCCTGTTGCCCAAAGAGGCCAACCTGAGCCGGAGAGCTGGGTGGGCAGGGCCTCAGGGGCAAAGGGAAGACGTTTGGAGTCTGTGGAAAGATGCTTGGATGTTCACCTCCTTCACCCAGAACTGACAGTAATCCTTGCCTGACCTCAGTGCCTCTTAACCTCTTTTTAAGAATTTCATCATGAAAAATTTCAGGCGCGTACAGAGGTATAGAAAAATCTCACCGGGAGCATTCACAAACTCAGTATGCAGATTCCACAGTGATTGAAATTCTGCTACCTGTGTTTATATTGACCCTTTGCCTTGTGTTGGTATTTTAAAGCAATTCCCAGGTCCCCAGGCGCGGCCCGTGGTGGCGTCTGCACTGAGGGGTGCAGGCGTGTGGTGGCGCTTCTCAGACGGCGTGGCGGTCACCTGGAGGAGCCCAGGGTGGCCCAGGGAAGGTTTGGGCGGGAGAAGGAGGGACTCCTGTGTGCAGCATAACACCTGAATGAGGGGCATGACAACCACACGAACACGCTTGCTGCCTAACATCTGCGGGCGCTGCACTCAGTACTCTTCAGACCCGATGTGGGATGGTTGCCTTCACTGAAAAACAAACGGATAGCTTCTTCATGAGAATAACACAACACAAATGTATGACCCAGCATAACGCATTAGGATTTTATTTACTTATTATTTATTTTTTTGAGACAAGGTCTCACTTGTGTCATCCAGGCTGGAGTGTGGTGGGATGATCACGGCTCACTGCAGCCTTGACCTCCCAGCTCAGCTTTTTGAGTAGCTGAGACTGTAGGTGTGTGCCCCCGCCCACTAAATATAAAATTAGTCCCCCAGCTAATTATTATATTTTTTGTAGAGACGAGGTTTTGCCATCTTGCCCAGGCTGATCTAGGACTCCTGAGCTCAAGCAATGTGCCCACCTCAGCTTCCCAAAGTGCTGGGATTACAAGTGTGAGCCATTGTGTCCAGCCAGGATTTTAAATTATCTCATTTGCTAAATCTCCTGGTGGTGGAATCCCATGTAGAAATGGAAACTTGGAGTCAAACAGACTGAAGATTTTTTTTAAAAAAATTAGGAAAAATGATCTATGTGTGAACCTTTACTATAAGTTACTCTTATTTCTAGTATGTTGTGATTTGGAACAGTAGTAAGAAGAAAAATAATGCAGAAATAAAGCAGTCATTCTTTTCAGAGCCAAACACAGTTTGAAGCCTACAGAAGCTCCTAGACCAAGTAAAATAGGTTCTATAGAAAGAATAAATTCTATACCCTGTAGAAAGAATAACTTTTAAACGCTTGTAGAGTGAATAGAAAAAAAACAAATCCCTTGAAAAGTTGTAGAAAATATAAAACTCTATACTTGCAGAAAATATAAATATCAGAAAAGCTGTATAAAAGTGGTCACATATTATTGTGACTTCTGGTATATGTAGATGCAGCCAAATAACTTGATATTTTGATGTAAAATTAAAATGCTCCCTTGTCCATCCCCCAACTCCCTGCAAAAAGAAGCAAAAAACAGAAAGAGTAGAATTGATCCTTCTCATAGTAGAAGAAGAGGATGGCTAAATGCAGAGTACAAAAAGAACAGATTTTAGACATTGTAATTTGTTCTTTTATCTGCATAGAGGATGGAAGCAAATGTGTCCTTCAAAGAGAATCATGTACTACGTATCTTTCGTACACACATTCCGTCCTTTTTCTTTAATTAGAGAAGGCTTAGCTCAAACTTTCCGCTGAGATACAGAATCAGATCTTTCTAAATTCAGAGGATGAAGTTTGGCAAGTAGAGCACATGTACTTTGTAGATATCATATTAAGTAAAATTAGTAACGTGTGGCTATAAAGACAACTTTCTAAGTGTTTGCCTTTTCCAGTGACCCTGATCAGTGGGCAGAAATAAATTGTCTTTATATCCACATGTTACATATATATATATATATATTTATTTTACAATTATGAGTTTTATTTTGCAGTCATGCTGATTAATAGACATTTAGTTCCTATTTACAAAACCAACTCTAAAATTGCATTAATAAGTGTTGGGCAACTTATATGTATATAAGACTTATATTGGGCAAGACTTATAAGACACATATTGGGTAACATATATATATAAAAGACATATATTGGGCAATTTATATGTATATAAGACACAAGATATATATATGTATACACACATACATATATATACATATACACATATGTATTTTAGATAAATGGTAAAGGGTACTAAGGAGTAATTAACAGATGGATGAGTCTTTGGTAATTGATACATACAAGTTTCTGTTAAAATCTTATTAATAAGTATGTAAAGAATATAAGGCATTCAGCTCCATGCCTTGTCCATAGAAAACTCATGTTATATATTTTTTGAATACATGGATTAAAATTTGATATTTGCAAATGATACTTTCTTTTGGTTTCTGATTCTTTGGTATTTTATCACCCTGAAATACTATATTAAATTTATTTATTTAGTTTTAATAGTTTTAGGGATACAGGTGGTTTTTGGTTACTTGGATAAACCGTGTAGTGGTGAAGTCTGAAATTTTAGTGCATTTATCACCTGAGTAGTGCACGTTATACCCAATATGTAGTTTTTTATCCCTCAGCCCCCTCCCATCCTCCCTGCTTCTGAGTCTCCAGTGTCCATTGTACCACTCTGTATGCTTTTGTGTACCCATAGCTTAGCTCCTGCTTACAAGTGAGAACATGGTATATTTGGTTTCCACTCCTGAGTTACTTCGCTTTGAATAATGACCTCCAATTCCATCCAAACTGCTGCAAAAGATATTATTTTGTTGTTTTTTTTAATGGCTGAGTAGTAGCCCGTGGTGTGTACGTATGTGTATATATATACACACACCATATTTTTATATTTTAAATATATTTTATGTTATATATATATATATACACACACACACACCATCTTTTTTTATCCACTCATTGGTTGATGGGGACTTCGACTGGTTCCATATCTGGTTTTGGTTTTTTTTTTGAGACGAAGTCTCGCCCTATCTCCCAGGCTGGAGTGCAGTGGCGCGATCTCGGCTCACTGCAAACTCCACCTCCCGGGTTCACGCCATTCTCCTGCCTCAGTCTCCCAAAGTGCTGGGATTACAGGCATGAGTCACCGCGCCCAGCCCATATCTTTGCAATTGTGAATTGTGCTGTGGTAAACATATGTGTGTAGGTGTCTTTTTGATAGAATGACTTCTCTTCTTTTGGGTGGATACCCAGTAGCAGGATTGCTGGACTGAATGGCAGATCTACTTTTAGTTCTTTAAGGGATCTCCATACTGTTTTCCATAGAGGTTATACTAGTTTACATTCTCATCAGCAGTGTGTAACTGTTCCTTTTCACCGCATCCATGCCAACATCTATTGTTTTCTGCCATTTTAATAATGGCCTTTCTGGCTGGGGTACAGTGGTGTCTCATTGTGGTCTTAATATGCATTTCTCTGAAGATTACACACATTATTACTTAACAGTACCTCACCGTCATATTCTCTGGATCCATAGATCATGTTGTAATAAGAGATTATTAATAACCTTTACTTCCTATTTTGGAACAGGAAATTGTTACTATGCATTTTTAAAGTAAATCCCACTAATGATACCTGACTTATTCATTTAGTGAACACTGGACAGGGGTTAGGTTAGGGCTCTTTAGCCCATTGCTTTAATTCGAAAAATGGGTTCTTCATGGATTAAGTTACCTTAATCCTCTGTGTCCAATCAGTTGGCTATTTAAACCATGCTTAGTTGATGGTGGTTTATTTTAATTCAAAGGTCTTTAAAATGGAGTAACCAATATTTTCCAACTTATAATCTTTCATGTCGGTTGTCTCATATTAGTTTTTATAGATGTTATTTATCACAATTACAAAGTCACTTAGGTGTATTTGAAGCTTAAGGGACAGATTAAGTTGCAAATTCCCGCTAAGGAGCTGAATTATCTGCACCATGCTGTCCATTGGCTAAACTCCCGAGATCACATAAGCTGCATCACTTGAACTCAAACCACCACCCTACACAGGCGAATGGCATCTTCCCAGATAAATGGTTTAAAAACCAGCCATCTATGAGGACCAAAAAGAAATGGTCAGGGTGACCAGAGGACCATCTAATCTCTAAAGGGTCTTCTAGCTTCGTAGTGAAGCCTTTAGAATGGCAAGTCCAGGAATACCTCATTTCATTCACAGACTTCTTCTTTTTTGAGACGGAGTCTGGCTCTGTCGCCCAGGCTGGAGTGCAGTGGCGCGATCTCGGCTCACTGCAAGCTCCGCCTCCCGGGTTCACGCCATTCTCCTGCCTCAGCCTCCCGAGTAGCTGGGACCACAGGCGCCCGCCACTGCGCCTTCATAGATTTGAAGAGAGTTAGGTCTTTGTTTGGGTTAGGCTTTGGCTTAAGGGGATGTTGTGGCTGGTTTGATCTTCTATCCAGACCACTCAAATTGATTCCTAATCAGTAATAAGGCTGTTTTGCTTTCTTATCGTTTCTGTGTTCACTAGAATAGCACTATTTAATTTCCTTCAAAAACACTTCATTTGCATTCACAGCTTGGCTGTTTGTCATAAGAGACCTGCTTTCATCCTGTCTTGGCTTTCAACATGCCTTCCTCACTAAGCTTAGTCGTTTCTAGCTTTTGATTTCAGGTGAGAGATGTGCAACTCTTCCCTTCGCTTGAACAGTCAGAGGCCACTATAGGGGTACTAACTGCCCTAATTTCAATCCTGTTGTGTCTTAGGGAAAAGGGAGGGTGGAGGAGAGGGAGAGAGGCAAGAACAGCCTGTTGGTAGAGTAGAGCAGTCAGAGAACATACCATTTATCGATTAAGTTTACGGTCTTATTTAGGCACGGTTCATGGCACCCCAAAACAATTACAATAGTGACACCATAGATTAGTAATCACAGATCACCAAAGCAGATATAATAACAATGAAAATGTTTAAAATATTATGAGAACTTCCAAAAGGTGACGCAGAGACACACTAACGGAGCACTTGCTGTTGGGAAAATGATGCCGACAGACTTGCTGGATGCAGGATTGCCACAAACCTTCGACGTGTTAAAAACAAATGTCGGCCGGGCGCGGTGGCTCAAGCCTGTAATCCCAGCACTTTGGGAGGCCGAGACAGGCGCATCAAGAGGTCAGGAGATGGAGAGGAGACCATCCTGGCTAACACGGTGAAACCCTGTCTCTACTAAAAATACAAAAAAAATTATTGTATTTTACAATACAATGAATGCCAATGATTCCTTCATTCTCTGGTCTTCCACAGTCTGAATCCCAACTCCTCTTAGGCCCTGTTTTTTTCACCATTACACCTCCCAAACTAATTTAAAGTGAACGGGTGCATCTCTTCCCTAGGCTTTGAAAAATTGTTTTGGAGTTTGCTATGAAAGGATAAATCAACTCACAACTTTCTCTAATAACCAGTTTATTAATATCTGTCCAATAAGAGTATTATTAAAGAAATGAACCCAAAACAGAAAAGTTAAGAAGGACTCCCTTTTCTTCCCCTAATTTAAATTTGTACAGAGATGGTAAGTGGTTATAGGGAGTGGTCATGAGA